ATTGCAATGTCAGACTGAGCCGTGTCCTGCAGGAAGCTTTCTTGCTGAGCCGTTTGTGATATGCTGCTTAGCTCTCAAGGATTTGCCAAGCCGCTTTTGTGTTTGGAATATGTGAAAACGCGTTTTACTTTTTATGTGCTCTGATTTCTCGGTGAAGGAGGAAAATCTTTTATTTTGCCTGCTCCTGTTGTGTGTAATGCAAATGCCAAGGAGCTCAGCCCAGCACGAGGGCCTCGTATTTCAAATGCTACCACCCCGAATGGGGTGGGTCCTAAAAGCTTCCGCCCCATTCGGATTACACTCGCATGACACCCAGACAATCAATAACCATTGACAAGCCACAAACATCGACAATAACGACGGGATATTTAGTTCTGAGATCCGTCAGACCTCGAAAGTATGCGAAAAATTCATCCTCAGAGCCATCCTCCTCCTCTGACTGCAAATCGCCGACGTAGACATCGTCGAAATCGAAGTCATATTATTTCGCTTATGGCTCTCAACTTTCGTGGCTTTTTCATATGATTTGATTACATTTCATCTTTTTTATTTCGATGGCTCAAGCTTTTCGATGGCTGCAGTTCAATTGACAATTGAAATACAATATTTTTATTTGTCGGGAGCGGGGAGAAGCCCCAAAGTCCTGGCTGTCATAATAATATGAATATTATTTGTGTCTGGGCTTTTGCTCAAAAACGATTTGCGTAATGGCGGGACAATTTATCCTGGAGTATCGAATGATAGTTGAGGATTATGGGGGCTGTGACAGAGCAAGAGACTCCCAGTTGCTGCAACCCCTTCACAAAAGAAACCACCAAGTGTGAAAGGGTCAGAAATAAATGAAAATTTCTAAGCTTGGGAAAAAATTTCAATATCATGATCTTCATTAAAGTAAACTTCCACTTTAGGAGTGGCTGGGTTTTTTTCCCAACACATTTTTCCCCGACAACGCCCATTAAGCCCAGCAATGAACTTTAGATTTTAATAAAGTGCTGCCCCCTCTGTTCCTGCGTCCTGCGTATCCTGACATTCACTCGCTTTAATGATGGAAAAAAGGATGGCCAAAACTAAAAACGCAGTCTGGGCGCTAACTAACACTGCACGGCGTATCCTTTTGTGCAAAAGAAGGTGCAACAAAAAAGAATCAACTAAATGAATATGTGTTGCTTGCGCTGGCAGCAGCAGCTTTGAAACTGAATGAATTAATGCCACAGACACGGGGCGGAGTGGGTGGAGGGTAGGTGGTTGCAACGTCAAAAGCGACGATGGATACACCAACAGACCGAACCAGCAACGTCGTGGAGTGTTCCAATTAAACTCAACACGTCAAACAACAGAGGCGGTCATCAAGTATACGCCATGGTGTGCTGTTGCACGACCACAAAGATATATTTTCATTAAAATGTATACTTTTTTTTGATAAATATTTAAAAATAAAGGCAGGAATGCAATAAAATCAAAAAGAAATAATAACCTTAATGGTAAAAGTCCTTAAGATATTCATAAAAAAGTGTAGCCTTTCTTGCATCTTCTGGCAGTGAAAAATATTGAGTCCTTTTTTTATATTTTTGACGAAAACATTTGTTTCAGTGTGAAGGCATTGGCCAAGCCACTGGAATGGATCTGGCTCTAACGATATACTCGTTAGTCGCGCGGTTAAATTTCTCATAGCGGGCGAAAGGCAAATGCCGCGCATCTTTTTAGTTTTTAGTTTTAAAGCTCGCACTGCTGCTAGTGTGGCACTTCGCTCGGTGGCAGGGTGGAGTGTGTGGCATGTTTTGATGGCTTGTAACTGCTCAACTACTCATGCATATTCATGCCAAACTACAGCCCGTGCAAACGAACCATTGGGATTGCCGCAGAGTTCGCATCTCTGCCTGCAAATCATCGCGGCCAGAGTCGAGTGTTGCCCCTAACCATGTCCATGTCGTGGAGGACTTCCTGGCCGCCACTGTCTGCCGCGGTCTTAGCGCTAAGGCAGCTGTTGCCATCAGTTTTCAGTTGGAGCTGCAGAAATGCATGAATATGCAAAAGGCCACTGCGAGTCGCGACTCCAACTCAACTAACTCACTTGATGAGACAAAAGGATGCGGTCTGGCTTTTGGCTTCGGCAGGTCCTTGGCACAAGGCAATCAATGGTCCAAAGCTGTCGCTGAGTAGATGCAAGAGCTCTCCAAATACCTGAGAGGGCTTGAGAGATTGTCGCACAGAAAGAAAAACACATAATTAATGTTCTTATATACATGTATTTTGCATTTTGATGCTTAAAGGGGATATTACTTTAATTTTTCCTATATTAGATGTAAACTATGCATTGTAATGACTTTTTTACCCAGCCTCCTTCTGGTTTCAATAAAAATTGAAGCTTAGTTGCACCTCTACATCACCCTGATATGCATTTTTTCATACCTGCATTTCGAATGCATTAAAATGCATATAAAAATTTATGTATGCATTCATACAAAGTCCTGCGAAGAAGCAGTCGAGGAACTTAAATACTTGTCCTGGCAAATACTTTCATGTTGTTGCTGCTGGGCAACGGCAGCCAGCAAGGAGCAACATCCTTCGGAAATGGCAAGCAAATGTGTCTGTCAGCGTGCCTCTGAGTGTGTGTTGTGCTGTGTTGTTGTTGCGCATTATGTTGCATTTGCAATGCAAATGCTTTTGTGCTTTTTGTTGATGTTGCTGCGACAACGACGACTATGAGGCTTATGTTACTGCTGTTGCTGCTTCTGCTGCTGCTGCTGCTAGTGATGTTGTTGCAACTGGGCCTTTTATTTCTTTATTGTGGCTGCCACATTGTGCGCTATGCAGCTATATATGCAAGTGAGTTGCATTTGCTTTTTTTTCTGTTTATATTTCTAATAAAAATTGTACGTTATTTTATGCTTCGATGCACTTTGCTGGGAGGAGATTCAATAAAGCGACTAGGGATGTTAGCATAAGGATATAGGGTTTATTCCAGAAACTAAAATCTATAAAATATTAAAGCTTTTTTTTAATGATAAATATTTGAGCTAGGAAATAATTGTTTAGTGTAGGTTTTTAGTATTTGGAAGAAAACTTTAAATATAAAACATTATTTCTCATTAAAGTCAAATCTCGTCAGAGTGCGTGTGGACATGACTTGCTGGAAATCTAGGAGGCTGGTGTGTGGCATGCAGGTTGTGGGTGGCATGGTATGAACGGCTTTTATGAGGTAAGGCAACTGGCTGATAAACACAAACAAATATGGGCGACAAAAACGCGAATAGGCAACGGAAAATGGTTGGCGTTGTTCTCGTTTCGGTCGCGTTTCCGCCCTGCTCCCGTTGCATTCCATTAACATTACAAATGTATTCATTGTTTGCAACTGCAGCGCCGACAGCGGCAACAGGCAGCAAAACGACAACAACAATGGTGACGCCATTATGGGAAAATGTGACAAGTGATAGAAAGGATAATGCCACCATGCTGCCACCGCCCCAACACCCCTGCTGCTGACTATTCCCCATGCAGAACTTATTCTTTTCCCGTTGTTTTCGCTTCTTTATGCGAAAGTGGCTTTATTATTTGTTTTTCTCGCTCGCACGCTAATGCTGCAAGGATGCTGGTGCAAGGATGTGTGTCGTGCGTGTTTTTCGTGTCTAGTTGGGATGCTGCAACACCAAGGAAAGTAAGGGAAACTTATGGATTTTTATTTAAAGAACTTTGAGTACTCTTTTTGGGATAAAACTTACAAATAGAAAAGACACAAATTAAAATAAAGCTTTACAATAATAATTATATATCTAATATTATGCATATTTGCTTTTATTTATCCTTATAGGTTCATAATAATAATTTTATTTAAAATCTATACCAAGCAAATATTTAATAAATTAAAATAGTAATGAAAATTCTCACAAAAGTATGGTTTTTATTTTATTAAATTAATTATATATGTATATTTATTTTTAAATTCAATTGTTTTGTTGCAACTTGTAAACATTTTCATTGACTGTAAGGGTAATTTGTAAAGGGACAACATCAGCCAGTAAAGGATGACAAAATCACAGAATGCCAAATTGTTTTCCTATTATTGTTGCCATTGTTGTCGCTGCCATCATTGGCATTGTTGTAGTTGCAGTTGCAGCTTTAGTTGCAGTTGTAGCTGAAGTTGCAGTGGCTGCTGTTGTTGAGCTTATCGTTATTTAAATTAGCATTACAATGCATACGTACACTCGTACACACAAGCCCGCTGCGTGACATGGCAACCATATTGTTGCTTTGAGAATTGTTTGGAACATCAGGGAACATAGGAGTTTTCAAGCTCCACACTCCAAAAAATCTTTATAAATTGGGGCACATCTTGTTTAACTTAAAAACTAAACTAGAATAAATTCTGCTTTACTGACTGATGTATCTTAAATTCACTTTAAACAATTCCTACATTTATCCTACCACTTCGCTTGTAAAAACATCAAAAATCGTATGGGTCTCTGCAGGATGGGTAAGCCTTGACGCATTTGAATAAGAAAAAGTATCGAAAACGTTTATAAATTTCACACAACAATTCCATTGAAATCGCACAAAAGATTCCAATTGATGAGAACACACACTCACCCAGCAAGTATGGGTATTCTGGATGTGTTTGTTCGAATGTTTGTCCTATAAATTGTGTCTAAGCAACAATTTGGCATTACCCGTCTCTGGCAGCTTCCGTTTGTACGCTGTGATACTTGGCCCACCCGATACGCTCCGATGCCAAAGAAAAAATCCACTTTGATATTATGCAATCGTGCGAGGCTCCAGTGGCGGAGTCGAGGTGGCTCCTAAGGGATGTGATGCCATTACATTATTCATGTTCGAAGCCATGGCTCACGGCTTTCCATCCTCCTACCCCTCCGACAAATAATGCTGCTCAGACAGGTGTGCAAAATAACTGACAAATATTTCACAGATGTCACCTTTTCGCAGCTATTTGTTGGCCCAAATCCTGCCGTTTAACATTACCATAGACTGGCATCCATAATTGCAAATTTTGCAGGACTATTTTTCTTTATTTATTAAATTCACATTTTATTAGAAGCCTAAGCCTTCTGGATCTCCTTGTTGACCGCGTCAGAGCCACTCTTCAATGAGTCAACGAAAGTGGTTCTCAGCTCGTTAAATTTGTTCTTCATCTCCTGCAAAGAATTAAAATGATTTTATTAAAGAATTGCTTTCAATATTTAAAAGCTTATTAAGGAATTTTTCATTCAGATGAAAAATAAAATTTGGTTACATTTTTTACTAAACATGTGATGAATTTAACCAAAAGAGAGGACAAAAGGTAATTATCAGGAATAATTAGGAGGAAAGGAATATAATATTTAAAGCTAACGAAATAGTAATAGAAAGTAATAGTTATTCTTTAAAAATGTATGGGAAAATAAGAGATTTTAAGTTAGTATTTTAAATTAAATATCTTTCAAATTATGTCTTGCAGACTCAATATAAAAATTATATTTTTTTGCACTACTTTTTCGATTGATGCAATTTAAAATTATTAAATTTAATTTTCGTATTAAAATAAACGTTAGATACCTGCCTAGAAATTTCTGAACTCTGAACTTTTAAATACATACTTTAAAATATAGTATACCAACATATTTTATGTTGAATTTCTATTTGATTTATAGCTTACCTCAATCTTCTCGGGAGTGGTGTGTTCCTTGAAGACCTTCTGGATATCCTCAACAATCTTGTTCAAGGTGTCCAGAGCAGGGTTCGATTCTTTGGGCTCCTCCCGCGCGATGCGAGCGCTCATGGCGATCTAGAAGGAAGTTCCTTGGTAATTTTTTATCCTGGGAATAGTCCTTTGAATTAACTTACGGCGAACAGAGCGAACAAAACGAAGATCACAGCAAGCTTGGCCATTTTAGGATATTGGTTTTACTTTGGAGGTCTGAACTGGCGAAAGTCGACTCGAGTACTGATTGAGAATTGGCGAAACTACTCCTCACATCACCTCGTTTTGCGTCGCAGCAAGACTGCAAAAACTTAGATCCAGACTCGGCACTGCATTCGTGAAGGTCAAGTGCTTCAATATGACGGAACTGAACCCTGATAAGCAGCCATACGAGGCATCCACTTAGATTAATTAATCTGCTTTCATGGTTCTAGCAAACTAAACAAAAATATAAATATTGGCATTTGAAATCAAGCTTTTTTTGTTGGAATACAAAAAATGCTTCTAATAGAAGAAAAAAAAATCATGTACCTATTGCAACAAATTTTTCCTATAAGGACTATATACATTTTCAACAGATACCTTTCGTCTATTTTGAATTCATGGATTAAAATAAAATATCTGTGCCTTAATAAGGGTATGTAAGCTTCGGCTCTCGGATAGTCTTCTGTTTGCAGTATTTAGAATGACTTAAGTCCAGCTTCTTGATTGATAAGGTAAATGACAGCATCAGTTGGTAACAGCACGTGGCTGAAGGTCTCATGCTGACATTCAGTATATTTGCAATCCTGATAAGGTGTCCCATATTTGCAAGTATATATTGTTTTGTTTGGAATAAAAGCGATTGAAAAGGGATCTCGAAAGACTTCTTTTATAAAAAACAAAGAACCATATATTGCAGGGCTATACTTATGGGTTAGGTAGGAATAACGTGCAGGATATTTATATCTTTCTTGAAGAATTTTATTCAATATGTAGATAATATAATTCAAAAGGTTTCTAATTCCCCTAAAAATGACACACTGAGCAAATAAAAAGTACAGTTTGTTGATTCGGGAAGCCAAGCAGATAAGCAGAGAGTTCACTGATGCGAGTCTTCGGATTGCATAATAATCAGAATAATTTTGAATATTTTTCTGTGATTATTAAATGTTTTGTTTTTTATAAACCAGAATTAAATGCTTATTTCTACTATCATGGATTAGCCGGTAGTACAGCAAAATCACAAGAGGAAAATCACCAAAATATTTTGTTTTTAATGGAATTATTGAAAATACTTAATTGAAATTCGTTTAAGTCATTGACAGATCTACCATGTACTCTGTCTAGGGAACTGAGCTGAGTATATGCTCCGGTACGGGCGGATGACATTGGGGGAGGGGCGGGGCCAGCGTCGGGTAGGTTCGCAAACGCAGGAGCTCCAGTATGGTCTGCAACTCCAGGACATGGGCATAGTGTCGGCGCACATTCTCCATCAGCTGACGATGGGTCTTGATCTGTTGCATTCTAAAGGCAAGAATATATAGGAATTTTTAAGAAAGTATATAATTAAATTTAAAAGTTTAAATCACCTCTCCCGCTGTTCCCGATCTCGTTTCTCCTCCATCATTGTATCGCGCAGGGTGTGCTGGAAGGTGACATCCACTTTGATTCTCTCAATTTTCGAATCGATGGCATGATTGCTGCGCTTTACCTCCAAAGTTTCGGCTTTAACCGCATCTATTTTGATATTGCTGTACGAGGAATGAAAAAGGATAAAGGTTAGATTACGATATAGGCTAGGAAATCCTGCCTTGCTTACAGGCGTTCAATGTGCTTCCGGAAGGCAGCCAGTTTTTGTTCAATAACTCTCTCTATGGCGCCGGCTATGTACTTTTGCCGGTCCGTCTTGACCTTGTCCCAGTTTCGCAAAATGTTTAGAAACTCCATCGACACCTTGCATTTCTCAATGGCATCCAGCATGTACTTGAGGTAAGCGATGTTTGCCTTGTAGAGCTTGTGCTCCCACTCCTTGAAGATCACCTGGCGGCGGAAGACGGCCACCCTCTGCATGGCTCTTATTTTTTGGTTGCCAGCATCCTAAAGGATTTTTTTGACTAAAATATGAAAGCTTTTCTAAAAGGAGACTTGGCAATACTCACCTGAATCTGTCGATTGACTTCGTTTATATCCTCCATGTGCATGAGGACGGCGTTTGAAAGGTTCGTGACGTGGCCCAATACGGAGACCTCCACTTGGCCCATGGAAAGGGTCAACTGAAGTGACATGTTTCTCATTTTTTCCAACTAAAGGATCATACAAGAGTGGATTGTAGAGCACAATGTTTCTTAGGCAGAAGGAAGAAACTCACGTATGACTGGATACTCTCCTCTGCGTTGCGCTGGGTAAGGACCTTCGAATCCCTGAGCGCCGACATGTCCTTATGGAGCATGTTGAGGTAGCTCTGGCTGTCCAACAACTGGTATTGGATGCCCTTGAGCCTCAGCTCGCTCTCCATCTTCTGGCGCCTCATCTTGCTGAAGGTGTCCCAGGTCTTGGCATCAACCTGCGGTGGGCAGTTCTTCGGAAGGTCGTGCTCCGCCAGGGCGGCGAGGAAGTCCATCACGTCAGCGGGCAGTGGGAAGGGGGTGCGAGTGCTGGGCTTACCGCTCAGCTTGTTGGAGGCCTCCATGCAAATAAGCGCCGAGTTAAAGATCTTGGGTGGCAGCTTGGGGCGCTTCTTGAAGAGCTTGGTCATTTCGTGGGTGGCATGTGGCACCAGGGGCAGGAACTGGCTGCGAAACTGACGCTCCACAGTCCGGTCGCGGGTCTGTTGCGCCTCCAGTCGTGACTTTACATCCACCAGAGCCTTTTCCCAGAAGTCCAAAAGGTAGCCGTAGCGCGTCATATATTCATTGAGCTTGTTGATGTCCTTGCGGAACATCTGGACGCGTTTGCGTAGCTGGACACGTCCAAAGTTAATCAGTTCAAGCGTGAGCAGGCGCAACTGGCCCTGCTTCAGGGCAAAGTCGTACTTGAGTTTCATGATCATAAGCTCGGCCACCCGCTGGTTGAGCTTTTGGATCTGGGAGGCCTTCAGGGCTAGAGTTTTCTCCTCGTTTTCGTGCAGGATGCGCAGGTACTTGCGGCGATCGAGCTCCAGCAGACGCACTGCCTCCTCGTAGGCCCGAAAGATCCTCTGCTCCTCCAGGTTGTACTCGTGCGGCTGCTTCTTAGCCACGAACTCCGGCTCGGGAATGTCCTTTTTGATTTCCTCCTCCCAGAGCTTCTCCAGCACACCGTCCATCATCACAATGAGGGCCCTGGCCCAGAACTCGGGGCTCCAGAGAAGCAGGCGGCCCTTCTTCCCGCCCGTATCGATTGTCTTTGGCTTCCGGCGGTTGATCGCCTTCACCTCGGAGTCGTCCACCTCCATGATGCGTTTGATCACCTCGTCCTGCGCCAGCGTGGGCACCGTGAGCTCCGGCAACTTGAACTGTTCCATGTTGAGCAGGCGCAGCATAATGTTCATGTTGTCGTAGATCTTGTTCAGCACCTCGTTTGTGTGCAGGACATTGTCGATTGTGTCCTGCTTGAGCTGCTGGGCCTCGTGGAAGAGCTTGTTGAACTCCTGCTTCAGGGGATCGCTCAAGTAGTATCGTATCTTGCAGTTGTGGTTGAACAACTGGTTGGAGGTGACCAGGTTCTTGTCCTGCAGTTGGAAAACTGGCGCCATAATATGGTCGTAGACGGTGCTGGTCACCACCACAAACGGCTTGTATTCCTCCAGGCCTTCCGGACCTTCCACCACCTGCTCCTCCTGGCCAAGTTCTCCGTCCTCCATATCTCCATGTGGCGGCCCACCATGTCCGCCTGGTGCCGGAAGGTGTTCCTCCTCCTCCTCGAAGGAGCCCAGCGAGAGGCGCAGGTGGTCCTCGATGTCATAGAACCTGTACTTGTCGAACTCGACCATATCCACTTTGCGTCGCGTAGAGAAGCTCTCGAAGTTTGCGTCCGCAAATATCGATCGCACCCGGTAATTGATGCTGACGGCATCGCGGGTCACCAGCCGGATGATCCAGTCGCGGATGCGGGCCTGGTCCTCCGCGGCCCGCTCCAGGGAGGCGCGCTCCAAGGCGCACAGCTTGCGCGCCTCCTCGGTGAGGGCGTCCAGCCACTTGTAGTGGAAGCAGAACTTCTTAAAGATGCCCTTCGTTTTGCCCGTCTTGGAAATGTCGTAGTCGATCAGAGCCGTCACCTTGGCGGAAAAATCCTTGATCATCGCAAAGACCTTGTCGCGCTTCAGAAAGTCAGCCCTGGTGAACTCCTCCTTCACCTCCTGCCGCATGCTGATAGGAACGAACATGTCCACCTTGTGGGTCTTCTGCTCTATAAACAGAGGCACCCCCTCCTCCACGGGCAGCTTTATGAACAAATTCTCCCGTACGAAGTCGGCCAGTGATGGTAGCCTCATCACTCTCAGGCTCTGGTTGGCCAACAGGATAATTAGATACCTGAAAGGAGGTCATGCTCGGATTTAATATCCTATAAAGAACAAATTTCAAGACTCACTTGGAGTTGAAGCACTCCCTGACCCTCAGTAGGTACTCCGTTTCGAAGGCCAAGTTAAGGAAACGACAGATCATATACGGCTTTTTGGCACGCTTGTGCTGCTTGAAGTGAACCAAGACTCCGCCAAGGCTCCAGGTAACCAGGTGCTTGGTCATCCCTGCGCCAAGGATGTAGCTGTAATGGGCTGACTTGGAGGAGGCTATCCACTGCAGTTCGTCCTTCTCGTTGAGCGCGAATTGGTCGTAGTTGTAACTGTTGTGTTCAATGGCCACGATCTCGATGAGGGCCCACCTACCCACCGGTGGCTGGACACAGAAGAAGCTGTACTCCTTCGGTAGAACAAACTCCCGTCGGTGCAGGCGTCTGTCTTTGCCCCAGCTGTAGAGCCAGAGCTCCGTGGCGAAGCCAGGGCGCTTCGTTTGCCGATTCCTATTGATGTAGACCATCAGCCGAGGTCCGTCGGCCAGAATGAAGGAGTGTATGAAGACATTGGCTATCTCCTGCCCACTCATCTCGAAGTAGTGGGTCAGCTTGTGCGGCCGGTTGTCCACCTGCACAGTGTGGAGCATCTTGGTCTGATCCTGGAACACTATCCAAGTGTCATTGAATTCCAGCGCGACTATGGGAGGAGTGTCGCAGTTCAACTCGCACAACACATGCGGGACGGTGGCCCGCTCGAATTGGATTAGCACCAGGCGACCGTTCAAGGTGCCCACCGCCACTATGGCTAGACTCCGGTGGTTGCACATGGCACTCGCGTCCGCCACAGGCACCTCGCTTAGCGTGTTGCCCTTGGAAAGGTCCATCATGGCCACCTTGTCGCTGTGGAGCAGCAGGACGCATTCGTCCTTGAGTCCCTGGAGTATCCGGAAGGTGATCACAGGGCTGCCAGCATGCACCACCCGCTCCAGCGCCGCGACTCCGTTCTTGTCCACCACCACCTGTTCGATGTGGCCCGGATCCTGTTGGGCGTAAATCTCGCCGTTGGTGTTGCTCAGAAAGCGACTGATGTCCCGCAGGCTCCCCTCCAGCATCCATTCGACCTTTGAGAAGATAAGCATTTTTTTTTAAACAGCTAAATAATATATTAAATTTAAATTATTAACGTATTTTGTTGTGGACTTTAAGGCGCACTGATGGTAATGGGATGTGTATGAGTTTCGAAAATAAAATTAATATAATTTCAGGCGATGGACTTACCTGAAATGCTCCCGACTTTTTCTTAATGTAGAAGGCATTGGTGTGGCTGGCTATGAGGAAGCCGGCCTTGTGGCAGGTGAGGGAGTGAGCTCGTGGTATCGTGATGAGGCTAAGGTCGCTCATGTCAATGGGCTGCCACTGGGGCTTGAGAGCGAAGCAGGCCACGTCCACGAGGACGAGGTGGCCAAAGTCGTTGGTCGCATACAGGTTGTTGTCCTCGCCGAAGGATAGGAACTGATCGCATGACTTGAGGTAGTCCTTGCTCACCTCCACCTCCGAGACCTTGTGCAGGAAGGACTCCTTCTCGATGGTGCAGATCTCGTAGCAGAGGATGGTCATCTCCCGCTTGTGGAACATAACCATGCTCGGCAGACTGTTGAAGCTCACCACCAGGCTGCGGTTCAACGAGGGCACCATGGTTTGCTGTTCTACGATGAGAGTGCTGGTGCGATAGTTGTAGACACAAAGGGGGTACTCCGGGTAGCTGCCAATGCAGATTAACAGATCGAACTCCGTGAACCGGATGTCGGAGTAGCTGAGTTTGTTGGCTGTGAGGAAGGGATGGATTATCACATCTTAAAAGACTCTAGTTTCCCTTGGCATCTTACGGGGAATAGTGGCAAACTTGGTCATATCCGGATAGCGATATATGTAGATGTTGGGTCGCAAGGTAACTTCCGAGAAGGCGAACAGCGGGAAGCGGTTGTGACCCGTAAACGAACCAATACTGAGGCCAGTGCTGACCGTCTCCGCCTTGAAGTAATTCACGGCCTTGGTTTGCATGTTGATGAACTTAACAGTGTTGCCGTTTCTCACACACAGGACATCGGGGCCCACACACATGATGGTGTCCTTGTCCCAGATGTTGCACCAACTGCACAGAAGAGTATTAACTACGATCAGGTTCTTAGGACTTTAGCCAAACTTACCAAACAGCTGAGGTTATATTCATGTTGATCGTTTTCTGAGCCTGCGGTTGGTTTAGTCCTTTTGTCTGATTTGTTTAGGACTCTGTTAAGTCCTTTGAAAGACAATAATGTTTATTTTGGTTGCTATGTTTACTATTTACTTGTTGAAGTTTGCTTCGTCTCCCGGACAACCAACAAAACTTGATTTTTTACTAAAATCTATCCCTCTTTTCTAAGATCCATTGCCAATGATAAAGTTTTTCTATAATTTCAAAAATAAAATTTCCCAAGTGGCCGCTATCCTAGCCATTTTGAAAAAATAGAAATGAAAGTCCAACTTTGGCCAAATTAATTTTTTTTTGGTTTTTTTCCCAGGCTGAACGTTACTTTAAAATGTGATGCGGCTTGTTATTTTTATTGCCCAGGCGTTATGGTTAATGGGCTGCCTTTTTTGGCTGACTGGCTCTAACCGGTGATAGGTAATTTTTTTAGGAGCCACATGGGTGTCGTTGATTGCATTTGCGGCTGTTATTAAATTTGAAACAATTACCCGGCTTCTGATACATGTTTTGAGGACGAGCCGTAACTCGTGGCTTTAAAAATATTAAATTCCCCACTGCCACATATTGAAAGAACAATTAGAAAAAAGATAAACAAACAAATTTGAGCTAAATTAGCAAAATGGGCTTAAACACCCATAAATTGAATCGCTTTATTATCGATTTATTCGCTACACATAGCAATTAAATACGTTGCGGCGCAGATTTTCATTTACATGAGCCCATAAATTTAATTAAAAGCTCAAAATATGTTTAAATAAAATCGCAAAGCCCGGCTCAACACCGACAACTAATGGCCGAAAACAAATAGAACGCATGTTAAATGGGCCTAATAACGGAAATGGTCTTTACGCCTCTGATCGCCGGTTCTGGTCGGTTGTGGTCCAGATTTGTTTGCCGGCCATATAGAAACTAATTTGCCGTGTTTGCTATTTAAATTCGCTAAACACTCCGCACTCTAACAAATTAGGTTGAAAACCGATGGGCCGCCGAAGGCCCCATGAAATTTAATATTAATGTTGGGATTTCCCTTTCACGAAGTGCCCACCCGTCGAAATGCTAATGAATAAAGAAATGGGACCCAAGCACACACACACACACGATGGGTGGGTGGCTGGATGGGACTCGAGTGTGACAGGAGTCGGGTAGGACCTGGCGGGTCAAAAGGACAACCTCGCATTGTTGCTGTTTCTTGCCAGACTGCTAGCCATCAGCCAGCCAATTGTGTGGCCTGTCCTGCTGCCGTCGTCCTTGTTGTTGTTGACGGAAGGAAGGAATTTTCAGCACATCGGCGCAATCTTTTTCTACAAAGTTGCCTTTTTTATGATGGCGGCTACCTGTGGCGGAAGCTCCACAATCCCATCGTCCCTTTGTTGTTGACGTCGTCTGGCCTTTATAAAATATTTATTACAGCCGCCCCAATGGTCGTCTTTGGGATCGTCCTGCCCTCAGGTGGGGTTATTAACATGTTAAATACGTCAACTGAAAATTGTTAAAAAATTACTAAGAGCTTTGGAAGGATTTTTGTGATTTCTTAAACAAACTTTGAAAGCATACACAATATTTTTCTGCTAAATATACAAAATTATCGGATGGTGTAGCAATGCTTGTCGATGCCTTTGGGGAAATGTCGGAACAGAAAAATAAAAAGGAGGAGTGCACTTATGGCACGATAATGATTTACAATGCATAGTTAATGCGTTTTTAATGAGAGTCTGCATGCTATAATAAAAAGTTGTGTGCAGCGGAAACTTGTCACCAGAGATTTGAGATTTCCAGCCGCACAATGGGAAAGTTGCCGGCATCGTCAGCGTCGTCCTCGTAGTCGGCGTCTTGCCACAAAGCCGCCTTAAGCGCTCGGAAAAGTTCTGCTGCATTCGAGTCATTAACATTAAAGACATTCCATGTTTCCAGTGGGGTGATGGGGTGCTATGGTTCTGGGACGCCACCCGGATGCATATAGGCGAAAAAAGTTTGCCCCTCATATGAGAAGACACTTCTCCGCAACACTGCAGGGGCGCATAAATAATTGAGTGGCGCCCCAAAGTAGGCAGCAAAGTGCACACTGCAAACTGCAGACAGCAGGTGCGGCCGGCGGATGTTAAATAGGATGGGGATGAGAGTGGGTGGGTGGCTGGTTGTCGGTGGGTGGTGTGGGTCTGTATTGAGTGGGTGGTAGACAGAGGGCTTAGGAGCTGGACGGGTGGCTAGCTACTTGGTTATGCGAATGCTGTGGGCTGCATTTACTTAAATGGAGAAGCCGCAGGGCCAAAGCGAATGGGCGTTTGGGCTTTCTATTCGTTTAAGACCATTGCATTAAATTAAGGCGGAAATTTATGGAATTTGTTTCTCTTTCTAAGATTTTTTCAATAAATACAGGTCTCAGATGATTTAATTTCCAGAAAACTTTATTGTGATAACAAATAGAAGGCTTTTAGGAGAGTATTTCAAATTTAAAGCTTGACATCAACTTGGGATTCATTTTAAAAAGATTTTCAAATCTTTAAGAATGTATGATTATGACTTTAAGGACTTCTTGATTTAAATTCAAATATATTTCACACTTTCCAACTAAATATTTCATTTTTCTGCCGTCAATGAGTTGTTTATGAGCAGTTCGGGTCCACATTACTCGTTTTTCTGCTGCTGGATCTGCTGAACAACTGGCAGCTGATTATTATTTGCTGCTCTGCATTATAAGAGCATCCTTTGTTGTTCCTGTTGACGAGGTTGTTGTCGCGCAACTCGTTAAATTTCCATCAGTGTGCGTGCAGCATATTGGCCCTAAATGTCACAGAGCCCGAGGAGGAAGCCGAAGCAATGAACTCTGATGTCCTCACGTATTTGTATAATATCGATTTGACTCACAAAACCCATACACACCCACATGCTCATTCCCTTGGCTGTCACACATGTCCGTAATTGATATTTTATGAATGAAATGTAAACACTTTTTTTACGATTCAAGGAGGAGAAAGAATGGCACAGAATGGCACACATATTTTGTCATATAGAGTAAGAATTGTAAAGAAAATCTGATAAGTTACTATAGTCTCCATTTTAATAATCTGACACACTAGTTTATAGTAAAGAATATTAAATACTTAAATCCTTTTTGGTAAGGCCATCTGGGCTGCAGCTAGGTTCGGTCAAGTTGAAAGCTTCAAAGTTGTCAAAAACAAAGGAAATTACCCATCTGACGGGGCCCAGAGCGGTCGTCACCGCCTTTTTGGCCAGAACACAATTGCCCAGACCCATAAAAACGGAGCGCCGTCGGGCCGTAAAGAGCTCTCCAAAGCACTTTCATGCCAATATGTGTAAACCATTAAACTCCACATGCCCCGGGCTTTTAACCCACAGGAACATGCATATATAAAAATTGCATTAAACATACATACATATTCCATATGTGTTTTCAATTCATTTTAACATTATGATGGAGAAGGGGCTACGGCAAAAATTGAATTGTTTATAATACAAAAGCAATTTATTGATGATGTCTTTTAATCGAGTGTTTTCCCACCGGTTTGTTGTCACTGGCAACGTTTATTTTAATTATTCAAAGTGTATATGGAAAAAAGTAGTGTAGTAGTTTGTGATTTTTGCTTTGTTTTCATATCTTGCGTTTTCTTATTGGGGAGATTGAATTGTTAAAGTTATGGTTTCTGTTTTCCAGAGCAGCCAGCCAGGAAAGCGTGTGATTGACGTATTATTGGCAATCTTATGAGCTGCAACCTTGCGGAATATTTATTGAAAAATATTCTCCTCCAACTTGATTTTGCTTAGACAATTTTCGCAATATTGGTTATTGGCTCTCAAAATAAAATAACATTGAAAATGTATCTAGTGGAAAAGTTTATGTTATCACAAGTGTGATAGATTCGAAATGTGTGCACGGGGCATTCAAGTGTCTGGCAGCCCCTTGTCTTATCTTGTATCTTGTGGATACATTTAGTGGCTGCCGCTTGAGTCGCGTATCTGCCACTAGGCGTGGAATATATGTCAATGACAAAATCAGAGAGAGCCTTGTTATTTAAACTGCCTCTGGCATATGCAAGACCACTACACAATGATATACGATCTGGCCTGGAGGCACAATTACCCAAAGACACCGATTTCTGCGAAGAGAAGTGGGCGAAGTAATTCAAATGTGCTAACCATAAATCACATGCAAGTGTTTGAGTTCACAAATGGGGAATCTGTTTGCGGATAAGCTGGGAACTGTTCTAGGAGGTTATTGAATGAAAGTCCAAGTCATGCACGCGCAGGCTCTTAATGGAGATAATGGTTTTTACCCTGGATATTGCATCGAAAAAAAAAATCTATCAAGAATTACTGCAGTATATTATATTGAACATATACACAAATGTACCTTACCAAATGAACTATCCCCTATCCTGGAATGGGATCGTCCAGGAAAATGGACAAAAAATCTAAAAAATAATTTGTTTCCAGATTTTGATGCAGGTTGGTGGAGAATCGATCTAGAAATCGTTTAAGGTATTCCGCTCAAGAATCTGAAAAAAATTGGCCAAGATTCAGTCATCGCTGTGGGCCATATGGGCCTTCCATGCATTTTCCCCAATTCGGATAGGGGATGATCCAGGAAATTTGGCAAAAAATCTACAAAATAATTTGTTTCTAGATTTTGATGCAGATTGGTGGAGAATCGATCTAGAAATCGTTTAAGGTATTCCGCTCAAGAATCTGATAAAAATTGGCCAAGATACAGTCATCGCTGTGGGCCATATGGGCCTTCCATGCATTTTCCCCAATTCGGATAGGGGATGATCCAGGAAATTTGACAAAAAATCTACAATATAATTTGTTTCTAGATTTTGATGCAGATTGGTGGAGAATCGATCTAGAAATCGTTTAAGGTATTCCGCTCAAGAATCTGATAAAAATTGGCCAAGTTACAGTCATCGCTGTGGGCCATATGAGCCTTCCATGCATTTTCCCCAATTCGGATATGGGATCATCCAGGAAATTTGACAAAAAATCTAAAAAATAATTTGTTTCTAGATTTTGATGCAGAATGGTGGAGAATCGATCTAGAAATCATTTAAGATATTCCGCTCAAGAATCGGATAAAAATTGGCCAAGATACAGTCATC